ACCTACTCTTCATTAGATTCTAATACATGGTCATTGATTACCTGGTTTTGATCTGCCAAACACATGTATTTGTGCGATCATTTTTGTTGAATGAAGGGTCTCTGATTTGTACGAGACCCCTTTCTGTAGGGTGCAAAGAGCCTCCTGATGTTCTGCTGACAGAGCTGCTCAACTTACTAGCTACTTCCTCTGCAGTGCAACGATGCAGCTAATCTGACATGACACAGTTTTACCTGAAATAAAAATATGTGTCTGTTGAATATAATGTTATGATCACATTGGAGTTTCAACTAAAAAAAAAGTAAAAGTACTAGGCCTGGAAGTAGAAACTAGAAAAGAAATTTAGGCAAATTAGGTTTACAGATACTGAGATAGATGATTCCTTTATTTAACGATGTTTCTGATAGAGTTATACTTTCAAACATCACTTTCGGGTGGATTTAGACTAAATTTAATTAGGTAAATAAAACTTACAAATATCTATTCTCAAAGTCACTAAGCAGACGACGACAAGCTTGTAGCAGACGGCCGATTTTGATTCCGGAAATTATCGAGTTATCTTTCCTTCATGGGAGCGTTCATTTTAAAAATTTTACGTTCATTCGACGACCGTTGGCGTTGACCGCAAGAACTCACGATGCGACAAAAGACAAATGTCAATTGACAAAGTTGCTTTGTTGAAGTGTATATGTGAATAGCTTTTGTTGTTTGTAGTGGGATTTTTTCAAAAAACATTTGTAATTTGACTTTTACTTTAACGGTATTATGTATTCATCATTTTAAGTATAATGACATGTATTTTGTATCTTAGGTATTAGGTATTTTCTATGATGTATTATAACACTTTCAACATACATACATTTAGTTTTGGCCCTTAAATCCCGCCATAATATAATAAGTGTTATTTAAAGGTTCCCGCATTGTAATACTATATGTCTATATTTGTTTATATTGGTTATTTTAGTTCTATGAACGGTGCCCCGTTCAATATAAGGACATCTGTAAACTAATGGGTGACGGGTAGATTTTTACTAATGAGGTGCCTTGCATTATTCTACAACTTTCTTATACTAACTCACTGACAGTTCTGCCACCATTCATTTCTGGAGGTAGGTTACGGTTGTCCAGCCACTTGGTGTACAGATTGGTCCAATTAAATAAAATAAGGTTGGTGTGGCAGAGTGCCAAATGAAACACTTACGTGAATATGGTAATGACCCGCCCTAATAGATGCCGTATCTAAACGTTTCATATACCTTAAAGAGTGTGATTTAATTTGCTTCATACATCATGTAGGGTCTTCAGAAGGCATGCACACAGCCTCTTCGACTTGCGACTGGGATAGAGGCAAGATGCAGTGTTCCTAGGGACACGATTTGGTATTCCCGGAAGGTGTTCCCACAGCCTCCCCGGCTTAGAGGCCGGGATACAAACCGCATTCGGCATACTTAAAGCGACGTATAGCCACCTCGGCTTAGGGGCAGGGATACAGACATAAATTGGTATTCTCAGAAAAACGTCCCCACAGCCCCCTTGTCTTAGAATCCGGGATACAGACACCAATCGGCGTTCCTAGAGCGGCACATAGGCGCTTAAGCCACACACAGTCATCATGTGTGGTTCTTAGAGAGACATGCCTCAGCCACCTCGGCTTAGATGCCGAGAAGATCATCATGTAGATTTCCGATTGGGAATGTATTTAATGTCATAGTTGTATGTATAGTTTCCTGTATAACCTTTGCATGGATGTTATAAAGATGTATAACAACACAGTGTTCCAGAGTTAAATGATCTATTTAAAATAGGTACACAACCTGGAAGTTCTGATTGGATAAGTGATACAGGGGTCGTGAAATGAAACGAAATGGGGTTTAACGACCTATGTACCGTGATACTCTATAACGAAAGCATTATGACGTGCTTGAAAAGTAATGAAAAATGGAGTAAAACGGGGCTTTAGGCTCTACTGCTCTGCACCGCCAGGACTTTTAAAGACGGACATACACCATACAGTGTGCTATGAAGAAACTGTTACTCGGACACATTTCTGAATCAATAACCAGCGAACACTTGGATCTTAAAGGAGTGTGCCTGTTGTATATTTGGAGACATACTTTATGTCAATTGACATAGTCATACTGGAGCTTATCTTGTATTAAGCATTTATAGCAAGACTTACTTTACGTGTGCTGTAGTTTATGGAGTTACTTCCCATTGCCAAATACTTAAATATTTATGGAATTGTTTGATTGGTCGATAACAACAGCACTATCATAAAGGGCAGATAATTTTACTAGTTGTCTACTCTGTGAATAGACCCAAGGGTTAGTGTAGTAGAAAGGGGATACCGACTGTATTTTATAATGAATAATTTTTAACCAAATAATATAGAAATATCAACAACCAACAAGAGTTTTGTTTTAATTCATGTATCCACGGACATTCAAGAAATTATACAAGAAGTACACTTGTACCCTATTTCAACCGCAAAGTTTGGGTCCAAGTATTTTAGGAATTTGGGGATCAGTTATTGGATTTATTAACAATTCTATTGTTCAGATAAGTTGTTTCTTAAATCTTTTTTTCCTTTTTAAAACCTTTGAAAAGCGCATTTACTTTTGAATCCATTGGAAACCTGGAACTGGAAATAATTTTGTATTTGACTTAAGGATTAGAACCAAATTCATAAAGTATGTTGATGACAAGTTGAGTAATTTCGACTTTGGTGACACATTATTATGTCATAGAATATAATTCAACAACCTCTTTACATTTGATCAATTTATTTGATAATAGCAACAGTTTCATTCCAGGCGGCTAGACATTTCGCTTTAAGGTTGTTAATGGCCTTTTCCTCTTATCGAGAGTATTGCATGTAATTAAGGCACACGCGGGTTCAAGGATAAGCACCATCCAAGCAACTGCCAAATGTTGTTGAACACGTAGATTTGAAAAAAAAAAATGTTTTTCGTGGAGTTTGATGTCCGCTTCCACCGAGGGTAATATCGCAGACACGTTATTATATTTGCAGTTGTATTGTCTTAGCAAAATGTCTTTCCTGTGTAAGAAACCCGGAGTAAATTCACGAGGATGAGAAGGCGCTACATACAACCACAATAGGGGTCGAAACCACACCTGCACGTCTGTTGTGACCATCCAGCATAAACGTATAAATGTACCCCTTTAAGGTGCACCTTGATGTAGCAAATCAATTTCATTTGAATACGTCCAAACCAAGTAAAATAACTAAAAATTTTGGTTCAAATCGGTTCAGGAGATTCAAAAAGTGACGGGGATTATACATTTAACTAGACCCATTATACTAATGTCCTACTTATCTGCACCGACTGGAGAATTTTGCCCAGACAGCGGGGCCACGGCCTACTCTTATATCGAATTCCAACAGTCAGGGATTCTTTTCCGTGCACGCCAACGTATAGGCGAGGCCTCGTTCTTCCACCCATGCGAACGACTTGCCACTGTCCTTTCCAGGCCTTCTGTCAAGCACCTCTGACAAAGGGAACCCGCGCTGTACAAATCCCTAGTAACTTTCTCGGCCAATAACGGGACCGAACCAGAATTCTTGGTGTACAGTCCAAAAAAAAAGATCAACAATAGGCAGATTTATCTCTTACATAATGGATTTTTACTAACTGATACACTAGCTAAAACTAGATAAATATCAGTATTTATGGTGTTACACATTCTCCCCAACTTAATAAATAATACATGTTTTTCGTGTGAATCTATGTTGAATTACTATATTAATTGTTTCCCCAGTGAGTGAAATGACACCATAGACAAAAGAACGGATGGTGCCTGTAACTCCGAAACCGGAAGTGATAGGCCATCCCCACAATGACTATGCTACTCCCCGGTCCGAGCTACCGCTATCTATAAACTTTAGCCGCGGGACAGCCCTGGTGTAGCCATCAACTTTTAAACACAAACGACGGTCACAAATATTAGTATAGATGTTCCCTTTTATTATAGGGGATCACGTGGCTAAGTGGGTAAGACGCTGGCTCGCTAGCCTGGAGGTCGGGTGTTCGATCCCTGCATTGGCCGAGAAAGTTCATCCAGATTTTCCGGCGTGGTTTCCCCTTGTCAGTGATGCTGGATGGAGGGCCTGACAAGGACAGCTGTCTAGTCGTTCGAATGGGACGAAAAACCGAGGTCCCGTGTACACATTGGCGTGCACGTAAAAGATCCCTTGGCAGTTGGAATTCGATATAAGTGTAGGCCGTAGCGCCGCTGCCCGGGCAAAATTTCCCTCACAGCACACTGTATGGCGTATGCCCGTCTTCATTAGCCCAGTTTAGGAGCAGAACAGTAGGACGTTAAACTCCATTTCATTTCATTTCCCTTTTATTATAGGCTCTCTACAACCGTGTTACAAAACTTACAAAAACAATGTGCTTCAACACACAGTTCTGCAAATACTAGCAGAATTTGAAAGCTATTTACTCACATTGAAAGCTTTAAGCTTAACCTTTGTTGGACAGTCCGGGCCTGTTATGGTATTTGTTTCACTCAAAATGAAACAAAAATACCCCAAAACAATAAACCATTGAACAAATACAAGAAAGAAGCGATAGAAAAATAGGGCCGGTCTCGATGGTGGTCGTCTGCTAAATGTCATAAGTTTTAAAAAATTAAAAGTAAGGGCGATAATCCAGTATTTTGAAAAAAATGCCAAAATGGATCAAATGTATTATGAGTAAAACATACAAAACTTTCATAAAATCGAGTGAATGGATCGGCTAACCAAAACTTAGTTTGTGTCCCAAAAGTCAAATTAAGATTATTTGGACAGCGATTTTTCCAGTATAACCAAAACTTAGTTTGTGTCGCAAAAGTCAAATTAAGATTATTTGGACAGTGATCTTTCCAGTATAACTCAGCATCATTTTGGAATAAACTACCATTAGATATTAAAGATGCACCAACTTTATTGCAAATCAAGAGTTTATTAAAAACACACCTGTTTAAAGAATACTACGAGACATAAAACGGTTATAGCACAAACCATAATGTCATCAGACTTTTTGTACCGCTATCAGCATATATTTAGTGTTATCATTATTATAATAAGCAGCAAGCAACTCGAATTATTACTCGTCAGTTAGATGTAATGTTTTTCAGAATCTCCAAACACTTTTCTCCAGTTCCGTCAGGTTTAAACTGTACTGCTACAATAAAATATGTCAGAATTGTACCAAATAGCTGAAATAAAGAAAATATTAAACAGATAATCTAAATCGTAGTAATTAAGATTTAAGATACATTTCCTGACGCAACTGTACCATTTATACGACGTACACAACACATTAATAGTCAGAGACCTTTCCTAAACGAATTAATTAATAGGATAATATGTGTCGTTATATGTTGGGATTAGGGTTAGATTATTCCAAAATGTATTCGGTAGTCAGAACAAGTACATTATGGCAGGCTGGAGCGATCAATTAATATATATATATATATATATATATATATATATATATATATGAAAAAAACCCTCAAATATTAAACACAGACGGCCATTTTTTTTAAATTTTTTTTACCAATTATTGATAGTTTTTATTTATTTATTATTATGTATATACAATGTGTAGTACGCCCATGAAAGGACGGTTGAGACAATTGGTGTGTAACGGTCTATAAAAAATATATATTATTATTATTATTATTGTAAGTGTTTTTTGGGAGATAATCTCGGTGGGTTTGGGCCTCAGTCGTGAACATAAAAAGACGTACCGCTAATATACTGGATTTCTGTAACGTAAAGAAACCATATATATCATAACCTATTGTTGATCCACTTAACTTGGTAGTAAATATATTTATCTGTAATATACAATATAATACAATCAGTTCTATTGTTGACCTACTCAACTTAGGAGTGAACATACATCTATCTGAACATAGAATCTGACAGCAAAGAAAATATAGTACCGTCGATTAATATTGCAATTAAAATCAATGTCCAAACTTATGACTTTAGTGCATTTTATTCAAGACTGTTGTCTACGCCTTTATATCTATTATTACTTATTTCATTCTAAAACACCTGTTCCTCAGATTGAGCATCCTCGGTATCCGCAGTGATCTCATTCCGTTCTACTTCACTAACCCCTTGGTTAATCTATAGAGATTTAACTAATAGACAAAAGAGAATGCTCACCATTTTTAATCCTGTTTCTGGTAAAGTCGAACGATCAATTTTCCATACTTCACCTAATGTTTTGTGAGCCTGAAATTTAGAATTCTGTACTAAAACGCGTGTAATACAAACAATTACCCAAACACGTCTTTAATGGTTTACTGGCTTTGGACTCGATCACGATGTTTAAATGACAGGTTTCTGATACCTCGGCTTTTAGGCGCAAATACATTTCAATTATTTTCCGAATTTTGAATTTTCTTATGTTTTACAGACGTATTCTTCCGAACAACTTTTTTTCTAAGGTTGTATACTCGTTTCCACACCTAACCCCGTTGAAAAAAAACAGGATGAACGGGATGAAACTAACTTTTGTCGTTGTGTACTTGTATAAGCGATGTTATATAAGCTTTGATCACAAGCATACGGGTCTCCAGAATTTATTCTTACCAAAACAACCGGTTTACACTTCGCCAAACTTCAATTCGTGACAATAATTCACTTAAAACAGAAGGGAGGGTAGAAGAACCGACGGGAAGAGAAAACCTTTAGGTTATGCAGGCAACTTGTGACAAAATGAAATGGGGGGAAATGGGGATTAACGTCCTACTTTACTGCACCAACTGGGCTAATGAAGAACGGCATACGCCATACAGTGTGCAATGAGGAAAAATGTGACTGTTCGGCGGAGCTACGACCTACTCTTATTTCTAACTGCCAATGATTATTTTACGTGCATGCCAACGTGTACAGGAACCTCGGTGTTTCGTACCATCCGAACGACGAGACATTCTCAATTCCAGGCCTTTTGTCTTGGTCATGTTCCGAAGTGCGATAATTTTTTGACTTTCTGAAAAAAAGTCGACACGGCATTAGACAACTATGTAACACATAATAACTCACCGTTGTATTAACGTGTGCTGCAATGAAATATTCACCAAAGGTGGATAAAAAAATCAACATAGCCCATAGCGATATTATAGCGAAATATGTAGCCGACAGTGATGAATAATTGGTTAATGTAACCCACAGGAAACAATGAACTGGAAAGGAAAATACAATACTTCCAGCCAAAAAGTGTTTCATAATCTGGTTAACTGCTGTCAAGAGATCACAGACTGCTTCATGCTGCTTTATGATCATGTTCAATTTTATAACAGTCATTTGTTCGACGTTTGATTTTGTTAATTCAAAATTTCTTTCATATTCCTTGATTACAACATAAGTACAAAACATAAAGAGCAAGGCTATTGTCGAAACCCGGATCAATGATGGAATCGATGACAATGTGATGAAAAAAATACCGGCGACTAATTTCCATCCAGACAAACCATCAAAGGGAAAGTAGTATATTTTCAATTCTGGTACGTTATAAAATGATAAAACTATAAAACCGACTGATACTGTCAGTATCCAAGCTACAAGACTGGTCGTGATATATTTTATTATTCTTGGTCTCTTCTGGATGGATTCTGGCAACCCGTAGTTAATTCCGTAACGTAAAAACTCCTCCTTCAGAAACCTGTAATTTGTGTGGAAATCGAACCAGTAGACAAGATTCAAAAATACAACACTAAGTTGTAAGCAACCAACGGCGATATGAGAGGCAAGGTAGTCTTGTAATGTCGCAGGTTGCAGAAAAAAGCTAACAGTTCTACAAGCATGAAATAACGCAACGCAAGTGACAAGCACGCAGTACATCAGATGTAACTTGGATCGGGTATTCTTCATAGTTGCCATATATGTTCCAGACATCATAAAAGATACATCGAGGGTATTAAATATACGTTCAGTTACGGATGTTGTCCCGGTTGCATTCATGTTGATTTCTTTCACTTCCGTAATTGTCCTGGCGTCCTTCATGTTGACCTTTTTTTTTTATCGAAGTTGTTCTAAAAATAGGTATTTGGCAACGGCTACCAATAAAGATTAGAAACTCCAATTTGGAGACCATATACTGGAAACGAACTAGACTGTCTAGCAAAAACAGAAAATAATCATCTAAATTGACTACAGTTTGACCACTGTTTGAAACACACCGTAAACTTTGTGTACAGTTACACGATAATGGCCTCTTGTGTCATGGAATAGTCGAATAGATAAAATTATTATAACATTCCACTGAAACACTATCACAATAATTAATGGCATCAGGTTATAGATTACTGTTTATTCAGGTTTATAGGTTTAAAGTAGCTAAGTGTCTAACTCAATATCATCCAAAATCTTCGACATTGAAAACACGAATTATTTGTCAATTTCAATCAACATTGATGATGATGTGATCTCACCGGGAAAAGATGAGCTTTGGTACACGAATCGTGTACCATAATGCGTTTCAGTGCCATTTGTAACAAGGGACATATTCCACAAGTCATGTGAAACGGTGACGCCATATTCTTATCTCGAGATCATGCGCAGTAAATACTATCTGTGTAGACTTGAGTTACTAGACATTAGAGATTGCAATTTCTCTGAACATAACTGATTTGGAATTAGAGTAAAAACCGAAACGACTGAATGTAAATTGTAGAAGGCAACTACAGTCAATAGTGACTTGCAGAAGCAATCCCGTTGCGTTGTCCCCCTAAGTCAAACACGCATTCAGTTTGTGAATAGGTTTATTACTTTACGTTTATTACATCGGTACGTTGCGTTAAATACATACAGGAATGAACACTGCGTTAAATACAGGAATGGACGTTACATCATTACGTTGCGTTGATTGCCGTTGAAATACATGTCAACATTATTCGTTAATAACACATATTGTAGAAGGCTTAAACAATTCAATGCCCATTATAAACTGAGCGAAGTGAACATAAGTAGAACAATTCAACAAACGAACTTGCGGTTCAATCAACAAAAGAACCTAAGTTTCACTTCAGCAAACAAACGCGGTGTCAACAAACGAACATGCGGTTTCACTGAAATTATAAAAATAACAGCGAATTACAATACTATTATACAATGAATAATGTAAGTCAAAGATATAAACTTAACTGATAACCAAAGCTTTTGGCCTAATGGAATTACATTATCCTAACATCAAAAGACCTCTGTCTTACTCATTTGGCAAGTCGCCAAATCTTACAAAACCATGTGCGCGACAGACATAACTTTTAAATGCCTAAAATCATCATATACATACGTTAGCAATACACGAATTTGACATAAAAATAATCTACCACTTCTTATAGCATATTTACAACAATATAAAATCCACTTACAACTTGTGAGGGGACTTCGGGACGTTATTCATCGTTGCGTTTGCGTTTTACTGCTCAAACGGCAGCCATTATGGAGTTTACATGGTTACGTTTAGTACAAATTATGCACTAGGATTCTGCATCGTCTAATTTATGGACACGGATCGAATATTGATGCAAATAAGGACTTCTGCCGTAACATATACACACATTTTACATTTAGCTCCTTGAAAGTGGCAATATTCGTATTTATTTATACAAAAAAACCCAACCATGTTGAGCCTATGCACAGAGTTAAAACCTGCTTTATTATGGTCATCTACAAATTTATTGAATCTTACAAACCGCCAAACTTCTTTATAAGTCGTATGTCTGAATTCTTAAATTGGCTGACTACCAAAATTACGTCTAATTACAGCAAATGAAGTCATTTATAGATAAGCTGTCGTCATTCAAGAAGATGGTAAATACCAGAGCTTAATTATTATCATGTTTAAATTAAAAATGACTATAGAAGCTGATTTATGACCACAAATTATTCTTGTTTGCATTTACTTAATATCGCTTTTAAACAATAATTACATTCAACATACGGATAATGTAGGGTCGTGTTTAGGAATTTGATCAGATATAATAATACTAATAATGTAATTAACTTATATAACGCCTAAAATCCAGTCAGTATCTTCTCCGTGGCAGTTTACAATTATAGAGATATAAAAGATAAAATATCACACCCAAAATCAGAATCACGGCAAAGATACAGGGACGAATGTTATAATAAATAAAATATTCTTTGAATAATTCAGTTTTAATTTGATTTCTCAATTCTGAAATATTCTTTGCTTTTCAGGTATAGAGGAAGCTTATTTCACAAAAATGGGGCTACGTGTTGGCATATACATAAAAGTACCCTTGGTGATTTGAGTTCAATGATGTGTGTGCGGAGAAGCTGCTGTCGGTACAAAGTATCCTTCTTAGCACATTGTAGAAACCCAGAAAACAAACTCGTGAAAACACACGTTCATTACGAAAGTAAATACAGAAGGGACCGCACCCCGTGAAAAATAAACCTAGAACACAATCCTGCGGACAAAACACTGCAAGTATATTTCGAATCAAGCCATTTGATCCGGGGCCAGTTATAAAACATAGAAAAAATGCAAGAAAGATATGTAACGAACTTGATCTCTGATTAGAGCGGATTACTGTGGTAGAGTGGACCCGATTCTATCCGTTTGTTCCGTTGAGGGTTCACTACTGAAAAGATATTGGAGTAGCCAACCAGGCAGCTGGCTCAGAAAGACTAAAACCAGATTATCAGCAACTCTCTTTATTATACGGCCAACTCCGTCTCACGCTTGTCGGGCTCTCGTATCGCGCTCCTACCAACGGCTCTCAAAATGGCGCTCTCCTCAGAACTCTATCCGAACGCTCCTATAAAAGGACTCTCTGTAACGCTAGTTAACGGGCTCTCTATAACGCTCCAAAAGACTCCCTATAACGCTCCCTGTAAGTCGGGGTCAAACTCGTCAGTGAAATCAACTTGAGAAATGGTCTCTGTCTTGACTCAACTCCATAGCTACTGGTCAAGACAAGGTACTATACCCATGACCACGTGACGTAACCACGTGATATAAGTCACACCTACTATTCCTGCCAATCATATGCACGTGCAGCCAATAGACAGCAAGCCAACGACAGCGCGTGTAAAGACGGATGTACAAAAATACAATTACAATATAAATATGAATGAAAATATGAGCTACATAACATAATTAAAAATAGACAATTAAATTGAATAATTACCAACGGAAAACAATAAGAAAACTAGATCGTCTAAACTGAGGATGTGGATCGGGCTATGAACTTGCGTTTCAGACCACCCCAGAGAGAACGTTAAAAATTAAGGGCGAAAATCCAGATAATATTTCAAAAAATGCCAAAATGGATCAAATAGAAATAAATAATCTATTGTGAGTAAACTTTCATCAAATCAAGTGAATCCGGGGATAGGCAGTAAGTAACTCAAATTATTATTCATCAGTAAGATGTTATGTTTTTCAGAATCTCCAAACACTTTTCTCCAGTTCCGTCAGGTTTAAACTGTACTGCTACAATAAAATATGTCAGAATTGTACCAAATAGCTGAAATACAGAAAATATTAAACGGATAATCTGTGTTGTCGAAGGTTCGGATTTAAGTGACATTTCCTGATGCAATTATACCAAATATACTCTTCAAAAACAGTAGGGGATAATTAGAAATAATACAAAACTGTGGAAATGCACTGCTTTTTTTATTAGAGGCAACCAGTGTATGTTAATAGCCGGCCAATTGCCTACACATGAACATAAACAGTTCATATGGGCGGCTTATCTGACGGTCCCATTTCACTCGCAAAGAGATACAGTCAAAAGTGAAAATAGACGTTTTTGATTTTTGTCTTAATAATGTGTAATTGCTCCACTCAGAATTCAGCAATTCGTCGTGGCATGCTCCTAATCAATCGTCCATTCACGACACGAGCGCGGTGGGCACGGGCATTATCATCTTGAAAGATGAAACGTCGACCTGCACGTTGAGCAAAGGGCAGAACTATCGGTGCCAGGATGTGGTCAAGGTAGTACACACCAGTGACCCTTCCTTGATCAATATGCAAGTCCTTTCTGCCAGTCATGGTGATTCCTCCCCACACCATAACAGACCCACGCCCGAATCTGTCACACTGTCTGACGTTAACGTTAGCATGACACTCATTTACACGCCTCCTCATCTGAGAACATTACACGCATCCATCGACAATTACCCCAATTTCTACGCTGCCGACACCATTCACGCCTGTTTGCCATGTGCTGGCGAGTTAATGTAGGCACAACACGCGGTCGTCGCGCATGCAAATGGGCTGCATGTAGTCGATTTCTAATCGTTTGGGGTGTAACTCAATTCCTGTAACTTGGTACAAGTTTACATAAAGCTGATTGACCGCTTGTCCTCGATTTCGCAGGACCTGTGTACGAATGTATCGATTGTTGGCTTGTGTAGTGGCCCTATAGACCGGGAGCCGAGGGGATCAACCTAGCTGAAAAGTGTGCCAATTTTCTCCTATATGGTATCAATGTATGTATATCTGGTATCATCAGAATGTAAGTCTGCCGGATTTCTGGTGGTGGGTGTGGTACCACGCCCTAAATGCCATGACCCCCAACTAGGCTAGATTAGCTCAAAAGTGTACCAAATGAAAATCGTACAGCAGTGTACCGTAAATCTTCAGGTATTACAAAAACACCCTGACAGACATGTCTAGTGGTGGGGTACCCCTTCATCTGTGAACATACTCTCAAAGCATGTCAAGTGTCCATGATTATTTATCATATCACAACCTGCATAGGTATTTGCATTTCAATATCCTCTACTTTTTTTGAAGAGTATATATGAAACACAGAGCTGCCTATAGGTAGTTCTTTTCGGAAGGAACGGCCAAAGTCTTCTGACCGTTCCTGTCCGTCCTTTTCTATTTTCATCATAGTTCTTCTATGTTCGCCAAATTCATAAAATAAAACAAAAACTCCTTTCAAGTAGAATTTTGCGATTCGGAAAACATAAACAAAAAACGCTTGAATTGGTCCCAATTGCGGGACTGGCTCTTGATGACTTTAATGCTTATGTGTATGAACTTGTCCGTTCAGAGATTGGGGGTTGGATGGCTGAATGGTTAGCGTGCGCGCGCTGTATCATAATGTCTGTCATTGAGTCGACTGGCGTGGTTTCGAATCCCCGGTTGTACGTGACAAGGAGTAGGGTCGCCTGTCCAACCTCGTGGGTTTTCTCCGGGTCCTCCGGTTTCCTCCCACTGCTAAAGACCCCTACGCGCAAGCGAATTATGTAAATAAAATTAAACCATATGTTAGTCCCGAAATGACCTAGTTTGTGTCGAGTAGACGTTAAACCCCATTTCTCTCTCTCTTATCTGCGTTCAGAGATTACTACGAAAGAAATCAATTAATAGGACAAGGTTGGGATTAGGATTAAATTATTCTAAAATTTTGTACTCGGTAGCCAGAACAAGTACTTTATGGCAGGCTGGAGCGATCAATAAACATATTTATATATAACTCAAATATGGGTGGAGATAATCGCAATGGGTTTGGGTCTCAGTCATGAACTTAAAAAGACGTACCACCAAAATATTTGATTTCTGTAAAGTAAACAAACCATATACATCATAACCTATAGTTGACCCACTTAACTTGGTAGTAAATATATTTATCTGAAATATACAATACAGTCTTTTAGAAAATAAATATATAGTGCCACCAGTCCTATTAACTTGGTAGTAAAAGTGTATATCTGTAATAACCCCCAAAATATGTCAATCAAAATCAATTTCGAGATATACCCAATTAGTACATTGTATCCAAAATCCTGGTCTCTACTTGGGAAGTTTCGACTAAAGAGAAGGTGCATGGAGCGCTCGCCACTAATGTAGCCAGTTAATCCATGGACATTATATTCTACTGTTCTTTGATAACAACCATACTATACCCCTCTCTTGAGGTGTTGTATATTGTATATTCGTGACTTAATAGTTTCAGTACTCCCACCCCAATCGCTAGGAAGAAGGTTGGATGGCCGATTGGTGCGCGCCTTATCATAAGGTCTGTCATTGTACAACTCGCGTGGTTTCGTTATCCGGGTTGTACGTGACAAGGGTCGCCTATCCAACCTCGTGTGTTTTCTCTGGTTTTCCCACCACCTCTAAAGACCACTACACACAAGCGAAGTATTGAAAAAAAGTAAACCATTTGCGTTAGTCTGAAAGTTAACGTTAGACCCGTTAAAACTAACATGCAAAGTCTCTAACATAGTAGATTGGGCGATGAATAGGTTGACTAGAAATTTAAATGAAAATTGAACTACAGTTTCATAATAAAACAGGTGGTGTGTGTCCCACAGTTATTCGAAAGACGGCATAAAACTCTCTGTATAGCAATTTTATGCTTTTGTCAAAAAGCGATTAATCTTTCACCTAAGCGACCTGACTACTGGGTTTATACTGAATATATGCTACACGAAACAAAGGGTAGAAAAGTAACAGACAGAATAAAATGCTTACCATTTTTAATCCTTTATCTGGTAAAGACGAAAGATCAATCTTCCATACTACACCTAGTGTTTTGTGAGCCTGAAATACAGAATTGTGTATTAAAACGCGTGTAACACAAATCGTCATCTGTGGACTAAAAATGACATTTTAAATCATCAATAACGATATTGAAATGCGTTTCTAACTCAGCGCCCCCATACTTATTATTGTGACTCCTATTTTGGTCAAGAAATTCGTTTCAGAGTTATGAAATTTTTTATATTTTTTTGTCAAAGATGTATTCTTGCAAAGTTGTTTTCTGAGATTATATTCTGGTTTCAAAAACAAATCTCGTAAGACAATTCAGGGAGGGTGAGCTTAACTTTATGTCTTTGTATATTTCTATTTGCGACTTATAGAACAATATTGTTACTCAGTTGACATTGTTCAGGAAAATGTCACTTAACACCTTCCATACATAAAATCGATTAACATCCTTGTCAGATTTATGACCCACAGATGGTCGGCATTGGCACTGGCTTGACACAACCAACAGCCACGTGGAAGTCGTTAGTGAAATTTGGAGAGGAAATTTATCAGCAATTGGTAGGTATCCCCATGGGCACCAACTGTGCACCTTTGCTTGCTGATGTGTTTCTCTATTCCTACGAAGCCGATTACATACAGGCACTCGTAAAATCAAATAAACGATTAGTCAGACATTTTAATTTCACTTATCGATATATCGATGATGTTCTATTATCCAAAATTTTGTGATTATGTAGAATTCATATATCCTGATGAACTCGAAATTAAAAACACTACTGACAGTGACAATTACGCTTCCTACTTGGATCTGCGTCTCGAATTTGACAATTGCCATAAACTTAGTGTTAAATTGTACGATAAACGTGATGACTTTGACTTTCCTATTGTTAACTTTCCATTTATTAGTAGTAACATTCCTATATCACCAACTTATGGAGTGTTTGTGTCTCAGCCAATATCGTTACGCGAGAGCTTGTTCATTTTATTCTGATTTTTTTTAAGTAGATCGAGGCATTTGTCATCTAAGCTTCAACTACAGGAATACTTGCGAACTAAACTTATTAAAACCTTTAAAAAGTTTTATGGCCGTCACATTATATAACATGTCTCTCTCGGCTATTATTCTAGATATATTTAAATGACGCGTATACTATCTCCCTGATAATGTCTGTCTACTACATCGTTAACACTGTTTATCACGTGCATTTTGCATACCGATAGTTCATTGGCCAATCACGCTATTTTACCGAGATTTCGCCCTATAGTTTGGATGCAGCGATGGCGGGTGTGGCGCCAGGCAGGGTAAGCTTACTCTTCCGGACACCTGTTACCACTTTTTGTCGTGTATTTTGTACACGGTGAACAGTCCATATGCTGATTACACTATTTTGCCTATACCGTTTTTTTAGGACTTCGATTTTGTCTAATGGTTTGGATTGTTCGTACTTGGTTTTATTTTATTTATATCATTAATCATCAGAGCTGACCTGTGTTACGTAAGGTCCTTTGCCTGTAAAGCAGACCGTATTGAACGCATGATATAATATGGCCTACTGCATAATCTCTGCCATGATCCTTTATCTAGAGCAGGAATCAAACTGAGATTATTCAGGAAGGCGAGAGCGTCTGATTTAAGACCGGACAAGGGCCATGTAAGTTAGTTGGGACTTGGCGCCAAAGGGTGTCAAGCCAAGCTAGAACCATGGATCCCTCAACACAATTATTCACTTAAAAGCAGAAAGGACCCGGGGGAAGGTAAAATGCAGGCAGATTCGGAACAAAATAACATGTTTTCTTATTGTCAAAGATGTATTCTTTAGGGTTTCATTTCTTTGTGTATATGTTTTGTGATCAATAGTATATCCCATAAATACGAATATTTAAATGTATTCATAACATTAATTGTTACACGTTCCAGTGAGAGAGAGAGAGGGAGATGGGTTTAACGTCCACTCGACACAAACTAGGTCATTTCGGTACTAACATATTGTTCAAATTTATTTCCTTATTTCGCTTGCGCGTAGGGGGCTTTAGCAGTGGGGGGAAACCGGAGGATCCGAAGAAAACCCACGGGGTTGGACATTCGATCCTACTCCTTGTCACGTACAACCGAGGAATCGAAACCACGACAGTTGACTCAATCACAGACTTTATGACAAAGCGCGCACGCGCTAACCATTCAGCCATCCAACCCCACGACTGAGCTAATAAAGACGGGCATACGCCATACAATGTGCTTCGGCCTACTCTTATTACCAATTCCAACTGCCAATGGTTATTTTACGTGCACACCAACGTGAACATCTGGTGTTTGGTTTTCGTGCCATCCGAACGAGACATCCTCCTTGTCAGACCGTGGTTTCCCCTTGTCAGTGGCGTAGGACGGAGAACCTGACAGGGACAGCTGTCTAGTAGTTGGGGTGTAACAAAAAACCGAGGCCCCTTGCATAGATTGGCGTGCACGTAAAAGATCCCTTGGCAGTTGGAATTTGATATAAGAGTTGGGCTGTCCGGACAAAATGTCCCTCACCGTATGCCCGTCTTCATTAGCCAAGTCGAGCAGAGCAGTAGGACGTTAAACCCTATTTTATTTCATTTCATTTCATTTCCTTGCCCGTCCAGGTCATGTTCCTAAGTGCGACCAGTTTTTGACTTTGTGAAAAAGTAAGTCTGTAGGCACTAGATAACTACGTAACAAACTATAACTCACCGTTGTATTAACTTGTGCTGCAATGTAATATGCACCAAAGGATGATAACAAAAAGAACACAGCCAATCCCGATATTATAGTGAAATATATAGCCGATAGTGATGAATAATTGGTTAATGTAACCCACAGGAAACAATGAGCTGGAAAGGAAAATACAATACTTCCAGCCAAAAAGTGTTTCATAATCTGATTAACTGCTGCCAAGAGATCACAGACTGCTTCATGTTGCTTTATGATCGTGTTCAATTTTATAACAGTCATTTCTTCGACGCTTGATCTTGTTAATTTAACAGTTCTTTCATATTCCTTGATTACAACATAAGTACAAAACATAAAGAGCAAGGTTATCGTCGATGCATGAATCATTGAGGGAATAGATGACAATGTAATGAAAACACTACCGGCGACTAATTTCCATCCCGAAATACCATCAAAGGGAAAGTAGAACGCTTTCAATTCTGGTAAGGTATAAAACGTTAAAGCTATTAAACCGACTGATACTATCGCTATCCAAGCTGCAAGGCTGGTCATGATATATTTTATTATTCTTGGTTTCTTCTGGATGGCTAATGGCAAGCCGTAGGTAATTTCGTAACGTAAAAACTCCTCCTTCAGAAACCTGTAATTTGTATGAAAACCAAACCAGTAAACAAGATTCAAAAACAAAATATTAAGGTGTAAGCAAACAAAGGCGATATAAGAGGCAAGGTAGTCTTGTAATGTCGCAGGTTGCAGAAAAAAGCCAACAATTCTACAAGTATTAAACAACGCAAAACAAGTGACAAGCACGCAATACGTCAGATGTAATTTGGGTCGGATATTCTTCCTTACTACCATGTATGTTCCAGACATCAAAAAAGATACATCGAGGGTATTAAATATACGTTCAGTTACGGAGGTTGTCCTGGTTGCATTTATATTGATTTCTTTCACTTCCGTAATGGTCCTGGTGCCCTTCATCTTGACTCTTTTATCGACGTTGTTCGAATAATAGGTATTTGGCAAAGGCAACTATTAGAAACTCCAAATGAGAGACGATATACCGGTAACGAACTAGACTGTCTAGCAAAAACTGTAAATAATCATCCTCAATTGTCAACAGTTTGCCCACTGTTTGAAACAAATCGTAAACTTTATGTATACTTCTTTGTTGCTGTCCCATACTATGATAAATAACAGACAGTTGTAAATTAATGGCCCCCTGCGTCATGGAATAGTCCAATAGATAAAAGTTTTAGAACATTCCACTGAAGAACAATAACAATAATTAATGGCATTGGGTAAAGATTGCTGTTTATTCAGTATAATGAAAGGCTTAAAGTAACAATATACTTATTAATTTATAGAAAAATCAACCACGTCCATCCTTGCAGTGATTTAAAACATGGTATATTATAGAGAGAGAGAAATGGGGTTTAACGTCCACTCGACACAAACTAGGTCATTTCGGGACCAACATATGGTTTAATTTTATTTCAATAATTCGCTTGCGCGTAGGGGTCTTTAGCAGTGGAAGGAAACCGGAGGACCCGGAGTAAACCCACGAGGTTGGACAGGCGACCCTACTCCTTGTCGCGTACAACCGGGGATTCGAAACCACGCCAGTTGACTCAACGACAGGCTTTATGATACAGCACGCACGTGCTAACCATTCGGCCATCCAACCCTCCCCCCCCCCCCCGGTATATTATGGACCTCTACAAATTTATTGAATCTTATACACCTCCACATTTGAAAAACTCTAATCATTAAATTGGCAGACTACCAATATTACATCTAATTACAGTAAATGACGTCATAGAGAGATAAACTGTGTCATCATTCAAGAAGATGGTAAATACCAGAGCTTAATTATTATAATGTCTAAATTAAAAAGCATATTCAACAATTAGAATTTTTGGAAGCTGTTTTATGACGATAAATTATTCTTGTTTGCGTTGTCTTATTATCGCTTTTAAACAGTATTTACATTAAACATACGGATAATGTTAACATTATTGATTAATCTATTGAAGTAATGTTGGAGTTAGGTTTTAGATAATAGGAAATGAAATCTGGTAGGCCTACTATGTAGGGGCGTGTTCTGGAATTTTAGCAGGTGGGGAGGGGATCGAAGATGGAGACAATGTCAAGTTTTTTGTTTGTTTTTGTTTTGTTCCTTGTTTGGGCGTGGGGGGGGGGGTACTCGAGTATGATAAATCAGACGCTCTGAGACAATACTTCTGCTCATTTAGATGTAAAGATGTTTAGAATTAGAGGGCCCCTCCTCCTCTTGACGCGCACCTGACCTGGCCGTATCACACATGATCCTGGCGGGGAAACTGATTATAAAAACT